GCACTTACGTCGATTGCTAAATGAATTTCGAATCGAGAATATTGCCAATGTGACTCCGACGGGGAAGCAGAGGAAGCCGACTCTCACACAGTTATGCGAGTTTATTCAACGCGCGTGGAGTATGGTTGATCCTGAAACAGTGAGAAAGAGTTTCAAAACGTGTGGAATATCGAATTCACTCGATGGAACTGAAGACGATTGTCTCTGGGAAGACCCTTCCTCAGAGGATGAGTGCTCCCCGAATCAAACTTCCACCCCAGATATCTCAAATTCTGACTCCGATACTGAATGAAGTGAAGAAATAACGTACCCATCCCTACAGTTTGCATGTTATTTTTATTATTTCACTGTTCTGACTGCCTGTTGATACTGTTTCCGTCTAAATAAATGACCAATAAGTTATAGGTACGTTGAAAAAATGTTTTCGGGAAATTTTTTTTTTTCCCCGAGTACAGGTATAAGACGCACCCCCTCATCGATCGCAGGAAAATATGCTTAAAAAATGCGCCTTATACACGAGTAAATACGGTAATATCTGTTTTGACAATTTATTCTAAATAATGTTGTTTCATGTAGTTTCATATAAGAGATTACCCTTCTTATAATAAAAAAATCTCAACATCTTATGAGCCAATTCAAACAGTGTTGGATTCATGGGGGTAAATGTCTGTCCCTCCCTCTCTCTAGGCTTGCTGGATGTAGGGTAAGGTTGGCAAATGCAATATTTTATACTAATAAAAGTCTCATACTATCACAAATGATAACTAAGGCCTTATGTGCACTTCATCCCACAGACAAAACCATAGCTATTTTACATGAATATAGGCAATCATGGAATCTGAGAAAGCAAAAGTACTTGACAGCATCCCATTCATACCAGACGTGAGAGAACTATCTTAGCATTAGTAAACTCACCCATTATGAACAGAAACATATTGTAAAGATACAAAGGGCATTCCAAAAATTCATAGTTCAAGGCACTTTCAGTCATAACATATTGCTTTTCCTCTTCACAGAGGCTGAATTTGTGTGCGTGTATGTATTTTTTTTTGTACTGCAGAAAGTAACTTAATCCATTGGAATATAATTATGTCTGTGTCTTGTCATGCATGCTCCATAATACTGGAATACAGACCCTGCTCATATTATTAGACTTAAGCAAAAAAAATGAAAAAAATCAACTGCAAACTGGACTTACATTCCACATACCATATGAAATACAATATTTTTTCAGTACAACTGTGTTTTGATAAATTAAACATGAAAATAATGTAAAAATGGTAAAATATTGAATATTACTGTAAATGCACTTACCAAGTTAGTATGTAACCAAGACATATGCTTCTTGACAATTGACTGACCATTGCAGTACAACCAAGGTATTTTATATCGCTGGTTCAGCAGCTCCATCACACCTATTTTTCTCTAATGTGACCCAAATTTGTTTTAAAGTAAAAAAAATATTCCATGAAGCAAGTAAATACACAGCTGGAAATTCTTCAAATGATAATAATATCTTAACTTTATCTTCAAGGGCCTCATGCTATGGAGATAATGAGTGCATTGACATAGTTATGTCATGATAAAATAAAATGTCTGCTTAACAGGTTGACCGCCACAAGGCGCACCGGTGCACCTCACTGAATGGGAAAATCAATAGGCCAACATTGGCCTGGCCGTGGCAGTCAACATGTTAATACATGGGTTTTAACAAATACACTGCCTGAATTAGCTCAAACCCTAGAAAAAATACCATTTTCAAGTGTACAAAATTCTTGAAAGATATATATTCCAATGGGTTAACAAAATTATTTTAAAAATTGAGACAGGGGAATTATCAGCTTTCTCACTCTGGAAAGAGCCATCTTGCAACTGATCTTTGAGCAGTTGAAGAGACAACACTTGGCTGCTCCCTTCACTCAAAGCCTCTTTGGTAGAAAGTTTTCAAATAACAACTTATGGTAGTGCTGAGCTGAATGACATCAAGGTCAATAAGCCAAAGGCTTATCTAAGGCTTGTCTATGGTTTGTAAACGATGTGAACTGAGAATTACAATAAAACATATTGGGCCTTTTTGTTGATACCCAAAGGAAAGGATTATGGTGGAGCTGGTTGATGCATAGAGACCTTGACTTCTGGCATCTAGAGGTCACATGCATAGGCATAGGAGCTTTCTCAAAAGAGGGGGGGGGGTTCCATGAAGGTGTATACATCATTCCATGTCAAGTGGTCCAAGCTTCAGGAAGTTGAAAAAATTTTTGTGTCCAATGTGTTTCTTTGATTAAACACTAAATGGTGAATTTTCCTTAACCCATCCATGTAGCTAACTACCTCTGAGACAGCCTCAGTAGAATTGTCCTTCCAGTACCTAATCATCTGCCAGATGGGCTCGTGGCTTGTTAGTCAATGGTGTGGTCATTAGATGGCATGATATGGCTTCTTTTAGGTTCAAGTAGGCTCTTTTTGGTTTTGTGCATGCAATGATTAATTTTTTGAAAATTAAATGGTATTTCACAGCAACTCATAGTAAGAAAAAATGGCATGTGAATGGGTTAATATATCCAAGATCATATTGATTATTGGCTTTTATTGGTCAACCACAAATTCTCAACACTGAGTTTTTCAAAGGAATAGAATGAAACTAATTTATCTCCAAAGAACTTATATTAGTCAACCATTTTCTGAATCATGCTTGCATCTGGAATCAAAGTATTGAGAAACGAAGTTAGGCAAATTTTTACAAAATGTGAAGTGAGAAAGAGAAAGCATTTAAAACATAAAAACTAGGGAGAGGAGTTGCTGAACTGGTATACTCCAGTAAGAAAGAAACTCCAAAGCTGAAGAGCAAGCTGAAGCTTAACCAGTTCTCCCATGGTCAACTTTTTGGGGTTGAAAATTTCCATATTTTCCCCAAAATTTAAGGGGAATGCATTACAGGGCCACAAGAAGCAGGTCCACAGGCTACATGCAGCCCATGGGTTGCATATCCCTGATCTAGACTTGAAATTTTGGATTTACCATCTTCTCATAATTCCAAATAGAAATGACTTTTTTTTTTACCAATTAAATCCCAGTCAATGGTGCAACATATTTCCCAAAATTTGGATAATGGAAGTATGGAATGATCTGCATGCTGGAAGTTGATATTCAGAGTATATAACTGGAAAAGGAGGGGAGAGAGGGGAGGGAGCAGAGGGCATATGCATCCCTGCCCCCTCTCATCCCTACTTTTAATGCCCTTGGTCATATGATGCCCTTTGTCATATGAGCCAGGATATCTTCATTTTTGCACAAGTGGAATAAAAGTGCCACATTTAGTCAAAATCAGAGTTAGTTAACAAATCAGAGTTGATTAACTATCACATCTGGTCCTACTTTTGCAAAGACTAGCTCTCAAGTAGATGATCAACTTCATCAACAAGATATAATAACTAGAAAGGGTCACGTGTGTTGATAATAATGCAAATTCAATCACCAACCAAGCTGAGGCACAGGAAGATCCAAGCCATTTGAGAGAAGTGGAGAATTTTGAATGGGTTCTATACTGGTCGTCTTCTCAGATTGAGAACCTGACAAGAGGAAATGATGGGTCTTCCCACAGAGAAGACTTCCTGAGAGCAGGATATCTTCCAACCACTCCCATGAATGGTTTTCTTCTGAAAAAAAAAAAAAAACAAGTTGAACCAATCATGAATAGGGATACTATATTTATTATTTATAATTGCAGTTTTTGAGTAGCAGATGCTTCCATTGGCTGCCTTTCAGTCAATGGAGGATGAAAACTAACAAAATTCTGCTATGTTCCTGATACAAATTTGTACAAATCAACTTTCTGCTGCATCTGGTATTTGACTTTCTGCCTGGCTCTGTAGATAATGCCTACCCCAACCTACAGCTCATTAATGCCATATCAGGATCTTGGCTGGCAGAACCTCTTTCTCCAGCTGCAAACTCTGTACATTGGCCAAAGCGCTTTGTCAATCACTCAATAAATAATTCCAAAAGTGAAAGAGAATGAACCCAGACCATGAAGGAAAATCAAAGGAGTCCTTCATTTCCCACTCACCAGCAGGGCCACATGAATTCTTCTGTCCACTCTGGAGGAAGCCCTTGCTTCGAAGAGCCTGGCAAAGAGTATTGGTTTTACAGACAAGGAGTGTCAGTTCTGCAGAATGCATGAATAAGATTGCAGGGGGAACCATGAGGCATCCATGGATAGCACACAGCAGAAGTTCTCCAAGTGGAGAATGCATCAATATTCCTGAAATTCATTCAAAAATTAAGAATGGTTTTGCAAGATCCTACCACGTTGACATGTTGATATTGATGTAAAATAAATCATATAAAATAATACACTTACCCTCTAACTCAGCTATTGCATCTTGAGTCAACACATTCACAGCTGTCTCACAGGTGGAAAACATTTGACATGAGAATTTGATCAATAGACTCAAATGCTTCTTAAAGGCATCAGCTTCTGAAGATGACACCTGTAGGGAATACAGATATAGAATATTCCTATTCATCTCATCATTAAATGAGAACTGAGTGCAAGTATTGACCATGCGTGGATTTTGCTTGGACACTAGCTGGGCAAGGAAGTGAAAGAAAAGGGTATCAAGGAGATCCTCCAACATTTTATGGATATCTTCCAACTCATCCTCATACTCAGCTGCATCCTCATTTGCTTCTCTTTTAACAAAGGATGTCACCTTCAAGGTCTAGAAACAAGAAAATATGACATCAGAAAAACATGACAACCATAACATTGTAGTGAAATGGGAACCTCAAGATGGAAATATGATAACTAAAGGTGGAAATCCATCTTTAGTTTTCTAACTTCACTGTAACCCACAAGATTGAAGTAGCTAGTCGTTAGAAGAGTGCAGAGGAGACTGTAAGGTTGTTGATCACCCTCCTTTGATGGGCCTTTCATACGCTCAACCACATCTACTGCATGAAATCCATGTGCATCTTTGGACTCGGGGGGTATTCTCTCCGATCGAGTGTTCTTGCAGATGTGAGACAATACAGCAGATGCCTCTTGAGGTTCTTGCAACTTTTGAACCAAAAGCTGTAGCATTAGACTCTTCCCACTACTTAGAACCTTCAGTTGACCTCCTCTTCTACCATCACATAATATGGAATGCACCATGGCAACGCATTCCTCTGTTGAGGGAAGAAGGAATGAAGCTCCATCCTGAATCACATGCCTCACTTCTTCTTGGATTTGAGGTTCAACACACTTGTCTATTAGGCTGAAATGGATAAACAAACTGTTAGACTAGGAAAATGGAATTAGTCTTACTGGAAAGTGGGGAATTGGATTTCCAGAGACACTAACAAGAAGAGCAGATTACTGAGACTAGAATCCTCTTTATCTAGAAGTGATCTGGGTGCATTGACAGCCTCTGCCAAGATCAAGTGACACTGCAGCAACCGGAGACAGCTCAAAATGAATGTCTGCAGATCCCTATGAGGATAATGAAATAATCATGTAAAAAAAAGTTTTTTTTTTTTCCAAACCATGTGTCCCATCCAAAGATGACTTCCACAAGCATCTCATCTCTGTACTGACATCTAACAAAAGTGGGCAACTCTAAGCCTACCACATGATGGTGCACATTTAACACCAACATTCAGCTATTACACAAGTCCTATTCAATACATAAAAAAACAACATTCTTGTATAGAGATGGGTGGGGGGGGGATGATACAGTGTGGAAGTAATCCTAGGATGGAGAAAAGTAAGGTTTAAACTAAAACTGCACGGCCCATTCCAAAATCACTTCCACAAGATCCTATGAGGTAAACGTAGAGGGTAGAAGTAAAGATGATCTAAAATGGTGCTCAAGAATGAGATTTAAAATGCACATGAAAGGTCAGTCAGGAAGAAAGATCATATGTGGTCTGTGATAACTACTGGTTGAGTAGGCACCAAGGAGACAGGAAAGGAAGGAAAACATGACAATCTCTGGCATGTGTTATGCCTGATGCACATTGACTGTGAAGAGCTAGATTGCAACCACTGTGAAGGTCACAGTATCCAGGAGGCAGTTGCAGAGCAGATGCTAAGAAAATTCATATGTGGTTCCAGTGAGCTTCCTGATAGACTTGGACAAGTTAATAACCAGTGTGCAATGAAATAGGACAATACTTAGGTGTGATACTAATTCTCTCAATAATGACTAATCCATTCATTATCCAAGCAAATGAAAACTCAATGCAATATTATGACCAGATTACATATAAAAATGGTTGAATTATCCATGTCTTTTCACATGCTGGATCCATGAACACCCAGTTTCCATTTGGCCTCTAGTGGGACGAAGGTGACAGCTGGCAGTGGCATGAATTCATAAACTAGAATTTCAAATGTACCTGAGTGGCTTGTGACTCAAATGTGAGATGCTTTGGGTATGGCTGGAGATATAATAGCTTCAAGCCTTGAAGCTCAGAGCATGTACAAGGGAATCAGTTCATATGTAAAACTATTTATACTAGACATCTGACAGACCTGTAACTCAAGAATCTGACTAAAATAAGAATTGCAGCTTTGGACTCAAAGGTTTCTCATTCAGAGTTTTCACAATGCTTTTTGCTGAAAAGAACTGCAACAGGTAAGCCACACCATTTGTTGATTTGGCATGGAATAATCCCCTGGTCAATGTTACTACAGAGATGAGATCTTTGTAGGAGAGATCTTGGAAAGGGGATACAAGAAAAATATTGATATCCTATATGCAGGAGTGGTACTAAAGTGATATACAACACTAATGACCAAAAAAAAAAGTTTCTGCCTGGAAAATCAACCATTTTAGCTAATAAATCATTCCACAGATGTATCAATAGCAATTATACACCACTAACTTAATTGTAAAATAATACAGAACTTCTCAATTTTATAATTCACTACAATTCTACCTTTCTGACAATAACATTAAGGATGACGTAACCTAGAAATGGGTGGTGCCCCTCTTAAGTCTCCAAATGGGAATTCACAAGTTTCTGCATATTGTGACCTATGAATGCAAAACAAATAATTGGAATATTCAAAATACTGCCAACAGCTTCATGCAGCTCTTCATTTTTCCTACAGCATTTCTAAGTCACTCTTTCACCAATGACATTTCAGGCATGCTTGATTGAATTTATATCTTCACCCAACAGCATTTATGAAATTGTTTCACAAGTTATCTAAAAGCCAGTCCCTGCTGATGAGATACCAAGCAGAACCACAACTCATTGAGGAAAGCAGCTCTTCTTCACTGCACTTCATCCCACTTGATGCATCTCATCCAAGTTGACATACCTCTGCACTAACACAAGCCTACTCTTCAGCTGGTATTTGAAGGACCTAGTCTTTATGAGATCCAGAGCAACTAGGAAACCACTCTTGAATGTGATGAACATAAAGTATAAGCTGGAATGAGCAGGGAAGCCTGTAGACTGACATGAGGTGCAGAGAAGAGTTGGTTTCAGCAACAATTCACAGTTTTGCTATTTTCTCATTGGTGGGAATTGGTTTTGAGACAACTCAAGGAAAACTTTCCCAAATGCTGTTGGAAGAGGGTCATCAATTTAGGGAGTGCTAATATTAATGCATGGAGAATAAGATTTGTGAGATTTCCTGGGCAGGAGCTTTATTTTGGCCAGTAGTGTAAGTAATGAGGAAATTTGAACTCACTTTTGCATATTCAGAGGATGTTGTTCCAAGTTGGCAGCAAAAGTCTCCAGAAACTTATAAAGGGTGGAGAACGTCTGAGAATGAAGATCAATGCTGAAGGCTCTTTGCCATGAAACAACTTGTCTACAAGGAAGAAGTAAGGAACACTTGATACCAGAATAGATTCTTCTGCTTATTAACACGTTGACGACCAGCCTATTTTTGCTTGTCTGCCGCGTGGGACCACGCACATTTTTTTTTGTCAAAAAATGCGTCCTGCCATCAGGACACATGGTCCCAGAAAACATTTTTTTTGCCGAGTTTTTTTAAAATGTTGAATNTTTTGCCGAGTTTTTTTAAAATGTTGAATTTTTTGGAATTTTTATCAGTAATTACGAAATCATAATCTTCTGGAACGTTCTCAACAGTTCCAGAAAGAAATTCATTGAAAGAAAATCTGCATCCTGGCATCAGGACGCATTGTCGCCAACGTGTTAAGACTTCATCTTACTCACCTATCCAAAGGAACAGTTGTCCAAGCAATGCTGTGAGAGGTGCCAGCAGAGATTTGATGAATAGGGACACCTTCCAGTCCTCCAACTTTTGCAGGGATACACACAGGAGAGGAAGAGTGGCCAAGTCCACATTGGCCCATAGAATTGTTCCCCCAAGCATACACCTAAAAATTTTGGAATTCATAAATTCCCTTATAATGTATCTATTTCAAGAAGACATACCTATGACAGCTAATGATTTTTTTAAACTCAAACATTCTTTAAAACTTCATTCATGTTCATTCTCTATCAGCTACAAAAGAGACCACCAACTTGATTATGACTAAACACTGTGGACATGGCTCTCAGAAAGACTACAGGGTCATATGTGTCTCACATGAAAAAATGAAGAAGCAATTTTAGGGGGTTGCCAAATTCCTGACACAACTGACCCAAACCTATTGGCTAGAAGTGGGAAGGAAGGGGTGAGGGAATAGGAAGACAGGGACCATTGCCACTAACTGGCAACTGCCTGGCTCCTCCCATCAGCTAAACATGACATGCCATGAAATGAGCTGTGATCACATGGTGAAAGCAACAAGCTACTTATTGCAGCGGCACTCTTGGAAGTTTTTTGTACTTTAGGAGAAGAGAGGATACCTTTAACAAGTTGACTGCCATTAGACCGAGTGGTGGGCAAAATGCTGCTTTTACTACTTAAGCTTGTAAATATTTTGGCTTAGATGGAGGGTTTAGGTGTTTGTGCTGTGCCCTCAGAAGGGTATCCATGGTAAATGGAAGGAGTGGCTATGTCCACAAGTGTTACACAATATTTATTACAATCTTATGAAAAAGCAGTTTGAAATCCAAGTGTTTGCAATAATGTAGCATTTAAGGTACACATGAGAAACTCTTACAAACATAAAAAATTATGTTTTGCACTTTTAAATCACTTTGATTCAAAAACTAAACAACAAATTGGGTATTTTGACTGACACTTAGGCAATTATCAAAATGACAATCAATTACAATAAATCAGTAAATTTACAAAAATCTACATGTAATTTATATTGATGTATGAAAATATTGGAAATAAGTGCCAAAATATAGCTGGTATCTTAGCGGGTAACATCCCATGTGCCTGTTAATGCCTGTCCTCTAGTGAATCATGACATTTAATGACAACAGCATGTGACAGAATGTCTAAACATGTTTCAAGGTTTAGGACAATGGTGGGTCTCATGACCTATGAGGTGTGTAACACCACAAGGAGGGCATAAGCCTAGTGGCATCATAATGAAACCAATACCAGTGACATCATCAGTGCATCATGAAAAAAATAATGAAAAGAGTATCTTTATCTGGCCATTTTTATTTATTTATTATTAAATATTGAGTTTGGCCTTAGAGAGAGAGAGTTTTGAAGTGTGCCAAAAAAAAGTTCACAGCAGTCAATGTGTTAAGTACTGGGCTTAGGCATAACCAATGGAAAAGGCTGAATGCATTATGCCAACAATGCACATTGCAAGATCATAAGACCAAACTTAAGGAGAGCCTGATCCCTCACAGTCATTGCCATTTAAAGAAGCACTAAGTAAAAGCACCTCATGCCATGTTTTACCAAACAAATGTTAACCAAATGTTAACCAACATCACCTGAGCACATTCAAAGCAAATACAACAAATGGAAGTGCCACATTGTGTCACCACATGAATGCAACTATGGTGTGTCATGCAAAAGTGAGTGTCTTTGTTTGAATTGTGAAGGCTAATAAGAAATTGCAATACTGAACTCCAATGTGTCCAGGAAAATCCAGAAAAAAAATTGCAAGTCTTCTGGACTTCTTGGTTCCAGTACATACACCAAACAGGTAAATGGATGTCCTCCCAAAAAATCTCTACAATCAAGGTGAAAAAGGCAGGGAGGAAAGGCAGCTCTAGCCAGTGCAACAAATGGCAGTAGTTGCCAGGGCATACCATAATCTGAAACACCAACACTTGGGTGATGTTCATGGCAGGAATCAGTAAACTCCATTCATAAAAGCTTGAATACATTTTTGGGAAATGAAGGTGCTAGCCCATGGGTCGAGAACTTTTTTGGCCATGTGAGATTGAGCTAAGTGCTCATGAGCCTAAGATTTCCAACACAACAGAATTTTTCCCGAAGTTGGACACAGACATGTGTAATAGAAAATAAGAAACAACCATGATTTTTAGCCATGACTCATGAGCCCAACTTTTCAGCTCATGAGCCATAGGTTCCCGACCCCTGTGCTAGCCTTATGGGGTGAGGTGTAAGAGTAGAAAATAGACTGCAATCAATCCCCCCGCCAAACTAAATAAATTCATGCCAGGAGCTGCTACTTTTGACACTTGAGAGCTGCCAGTTGGTAAACCCTGACCTAGAAGCACAAGATAGATTCAAAAAGAAAAAGAAGCAGATCTTGGAACCTGGGAGTCTCTGGTGAGAGCAAGACAGTGTGAATCACCACAGCAGATGTCAACAATGGTCAAAGGTGTCAAGCTTGAAATGGGAGTTGGCTGAAGCCAAGTAACTTCAGGACACCCAGCACCTAGACAAGGTCCACTTCCCCATGACAGTACTTGACCTGCAGATGTGATGGCAAGGGTAGCCTGGGCTGCACAGGCCAGCTTTTGAATTCCCAGACCCTGAAGAGCATCAATGAGTCGAGGTTGACGGACTCTCATACAAGATGTCTGCCCAAAGCCTAATCGTCCATGCTCGCCACTTCCAAATGCCCAAACACAGCACCCATCTTGGCTCAATACAAATGTGTGTGCACTGCCACAAAATACTTGCCCAGCACCTCCAGAAAGTTCATTCACCAGCGTTGGAAGAGTTCGAGTTGAGTTATCACCCAGTCCTACAGAAGCAACTTTGCATCAGTCATCCCAAGAAAACCACATCAGCCATTTCTTGAAGAAGCAAAAGAAGAGCAGGATTAAGATTCTTACCAAGTCTCCCATAGTCCCCTTCACCCCAAGTATACAGATCACCATCAGCAGTGACACAGGCACTGTGTCGATAACCAGCAGAGATTCCAGTTACCATTTTCCCCTTCAATGGTCCTTCCAATAATTTTGGATATTTTTGAGTGATACCATTCCCATGCCCCAGTTTCCCATAGTCACCTAGAGCAAAAAGTAGGATTTATACAATTAAGTTTCAGGTTATCTGGGAGGGTCGAGGCTGGATGCCTTAACCATCAACAGGAGTACTTTTAGCTAAAATACAATGGAAAAGGGTTATTCCACAGATAGGGTAAAATACCTAGTGATGGGCCACAACACATGAAAATTCCAACAGCTAAGCTTCCATAGCACACCTACCCGTGTTGTGACATAGTCCAGCAGTATGCAAGCATCTACACACTTGAGATGTTTATGTTAGAAATTCATAGTTTTTGGAATATTGCTGTGTCGTGGCCCATCAATGAGTACACGCCCTTAACAGGCCCATCATTGGGTGTTTTACCTTAAGAGCAAAATGTTCAAAATGTGAAATGTTACATTTGATACCAATCATGAATTGGTGATACAATACAGTATTTATGATATTACCATGCTTCATACAAGTTGTACTCGAATGCAATGCAACAAAAATGGGAGTAACCTAAAAACTTTTTAGACATAGTATTCTCTGGCTCCCCCACTTTGTGTAACACAAGTCATGGTTATATGAGTCAAAATCAACTTTTCATACTATTACCTTCTGAAAATGGATTCTTGAGTTTAGACATCATGAAACCTTTGCTTCATGTTCACTCTTAAAGACTTAGTTATAACGTCATCAAAGGGACCAGATAAAAACTGTTGTTGTAACTGAGGTTGCCTTTATTGGCATTCCGTTTTCCTGTTTTCAAAATTGATGCTATATAATGTTACAACTTCAGTTTACATTGGTCATAATGGCTTCAGTTTCAAGATTAACCCACTAATCATGATGTTCACACTTCTTTGGACCTTGAACTACTTTCTGACTACTTGAACTGACTGCAATTAAAGTTTTGTGTGGTGCCTTCAGTTTCAGCTGTTAAATTTGGTAGTCCTATGTATCCTGATTAGCTGAAAATCCTCTAGAGTCATATATAAAAGCACAATCTTGGGAAAGGTTTGCATGATGGAGCCTGCACATATATATACAAAGGGCAACTTTGATGCCTGTGCTATGCATCCTTCACCCATTTGACTCAAATAGCATGGAAAGGAAACTTACCATCACCCCAGCTGAAGACTTGTCCATCAGAGGTAAGAGCTAGGGTGTGACCATCAGATCCTTTAGATGAAGACACTTTGATGATGCGAACAGCTAAGAGTGCAGACCCAGGATTTGGGAGCTCAAATGTCAGTGCTTTAGGAACAGCCTGATTGTGTGAATCTCCAAGACCAAGACGACCATAACTTCCCTTTCCACATGCAGAAACAGTACCATCCCCATGAATCAGAAATGTGCAGTACTGGCCTGCCTCTACCTGCAACAATACATCAGAGGGATAACAATCTCCTGTGTTTGTCTCCTTGAAGGTTCATGTGTTGAATTCAATGGTAGCACAGCAACAAGACCTGCCTGCTGCACAAAGGAAAACACATCAACATGGATGGGATTCATGACTTTTTCTTGGGTTCCTTTTGCAAGCTGATGAGAAGAATTGCTTCCCCAGACAAATACTTCCCCAGAACCACTTGTCAATCTCTGTCTATAACCTGATGACCCCATCTCTCCTCTATGACGGTTTCCTATCCCTAAGTTTGCCCACAAGTAATCTCCAGCCATGTCAGCCATCTGGAAAATGCAGGGCATGCTATTGAAGAAATTCCAAGAGAACAGGGCATTTGAAGAATCTTTTCAATTTACCACTCTGATGAAGATCAATGCAACTTGATGGACAGGGACTTCTTCCACAGATGAGAAACTTTCCATCTCTCCAAAAATGTCCATCTCTTGACAGGGCTAGAGATGATAGGAAAAAATGTTTCTTCTTCAACAGGAACAAAAGATCTTCACTCTGGGAATGTGTTACAGTAAGGAAAGTGAAAATCTCTCACAATAGTACTCTGTATGTTTGAAAGTGCCCATTCCAACATATGCTTGTCCAATGTGAGGGGATTTTGGGTCTTCCAAGCATCAACAGCACAGGAAATCCAATTCAAAATATATCTAAGGCACCCTCTTTGAAAGACCAATGCCAACAGCAATTGGCATGCCAGTTTTCTGCCTGCAAAATTTCATTCATTATATTTTCAATACAATTTGAGACATGCTTACAAAAGAATATCTTCAAGTTGAATGATTATTACTTTCAAGACTAATTGTAGGATCTTCTGTATTGGATAAGATACTGCAGAGGAAACTGGAAACATCATCAAGACTCTGTATTGCCACAGGAGGAAGACTTGTCTCAGATGAGAGGGAGAGAGGAGGAAGGCTGACAAGAACAGATAAGGCTGTTTTCAGCACTTGATCTCCAAGGCAGGTTTCACCTCCTATAAGGACACAATGAGCAGGAAATGGAAATCTCCTTGCTTAGTCTGCTGGGCCTCTTTTCCTTTAGTTATGTATGAGAATCAGGACACTGTGATTTGTTTATTTTTCTTTCCCAGAAGCAATGACAATATCTGCATACATGACAATAAGTAGTAATTAATGAAATCATTCATCCATGTCAATAAGATAAAGTATCCTACATGATATACAGGGTGGTCCACAATTGTCTCCCCAAAAGTAATAGCTTATTACTCAGGAAATATACATCCAATTTCAATTATATTAAACTCATATGATAGCCAATTCAATATATTTTTATTGTGGAAAATGTTAGCATTCCATAAGAAACTAGAAAAAAAGTTACACCATAACAAATGAAAGCCATCAAATCATTCATGTTCAATATGACTTCCACAATTTTCAATGACTTGGTGCAGTCTCTCTTTGAATGCCAGCAGAATTCTTTCAATCATCTCTGGTCCTACTGTGACAAAGGCATCTCTAATGACCTGTTCATATGCATATCGATTGGGTCGATTGGAAAGTTCTGGCCTTTTTGAGAACATTCCATACAACTGAGTTTTTTAAAAAAGCAAAAAAAGTTCATTCAATGAAGTAATCGCCATCACAGTCAATCACCTTCTGCCAACAATCAGGCAGACTCCTGATTCCATCCCTGTAGAACTGAGCTGGCTGTGAGTCGAAAAAATCAGTCAGCCAGTTTTCGACCTCAGCGTCATCGTTGAACCTTTTCTGGCAAAGATGGTTGTCCAGAGTGCAGAAGAGATGGTAGTTGGTTGGTAGCAGATCGGGGTTATACGGAGGGTGAGGCAGAACCTCCCAGCCCAGATCCAGCAGTTTCTGCCGTGTGATCTTTGCAACATGTGGCCTTGCGTTGTCATGCAGGAATCGAACACGACGGTGCCCTGGCCGAACAGTGCGGAGTATGTCGGCGAGCTTCTGCAGCTGATCCCAGTAGTAGGTGGCGATGATGCTGGTATCGGGTGGGAGCAGCTCAAAGTCGATCACGCCTTGCACATCCCACCTAATGCACAACATGACTTTTCGGGGGTGCAGGTCACCTTTCGGCTCCAGCTCTGGCTGGGCATCAGCATTGACCCACTGGCGCCTGTGTCGGTAGTTGACGTACAGCATCCACTTTTCATCTCTAGTGACTACGGAATCCAGCCAGTTGTTTGTGCGCTCATATGACAGCAGCGAAGTGCACACCTCAGCACGGTGTTCATGGTTGCAGTCGGTTGGATCGTGGGGTAGCCACTGACCCAACTTGCTCTTCTTGCCAATTGCAGCCAGGTGCATCACGATCGTGGACTGGGCGCAGCCAAGTGCTGTCACAAAGTCACGGGTACTTTGCCTCGGATCGGCTTCCACTGTGTGCTGCAACTGCTCGTCGTCAATTTCAGATGGGCAGCCTGACCTGGGCTCATCCTCGAGGCTGTAATTTCCAGACCGGAAACAATCGAACGATCATTGTGCTGTCCTTTCGTATACTGCACCTTGACCAAATGCAGCGCAGATGCAGTGACTCAATTCAGCTGCTGTGATGCCAGATAGGAAGTCGTAAAGAAGGCACTGACATTGGGTGGCCTTGTTAAAGTTGATTTTGGAAGTCATGGTTATAGGCTTTGAACAACTAAGCAACTGCTGCGTAATCACGCCCACACACCCTTTATATACTGCTACTATGGAAGATTCGAGAAAGTTCCAGAAATTTTTTTCTGGAAAATTCTTGAAATGGCCAGAACTGTCTGATCGACCCAAAAGGTTGTCATAGGTCAGCTGATGAATTTATTTTGCCTCAAAAACGAGATTACTAGAAGAGTCCTTGACTCCGTAAACCTGGGTTTGACTTCTTTAAAAGTTTAAAAGGAGTGTGTTTAAACGTGAGAAGTTTAATAGTTTGGTTTACCGTTATAAACAGAAGACGTCCTATCTGATGTCACCCATGACACAGACAATCCCTTGCAATGCATGAAAAATCCTAGAATGAATTGCAAAACTCAAGATGGAATTGCGAATTTCAGAAGGGATTATAATTTTTACAGGCTTAAGTTGCACAATATGGGTACTTGAATTTGTTATGGCGTAACTTTGTTCTAGTTTCTTATGAAATGCTGAAATTTTCCACAATAACTTATATTGAAAAAAAAAAAATTTGCATTGGCTATTGTTTGAGTCAGATATAATTGAAATTGGAAGTGTACTCCCTGAGTAATAAGATTTACTTTTGGGGAGACAATTGTGGACCACCCTGTATATATTATTCACTTCATTTTCATACCTTGATGTAGAAACCAACTCTGCCTTAGAAGACCAAAGATAAGTGTGAGGCCAGACTTGAGACCCAGCTGTAGCATTGCAGAAGTAGGAGTAAGGGAAGATATGCTGCTAGAATTCCTGGGTTCACTAACTTTTATAACAGGCCCCTTCTCACATGTGCTTCCTGCAATCAATCCCTAGGGATAGATAATAAAAAAGTAACATTCTCCTAATTGGCCCTAATTCATCATCAGAATCAGTTGTCTGGTCATCACCTCCTGCATTCAGACCCCATATCAAATGTAGAATTCCCTCAGAGAAATTATATAAAGAACCTCTCATCCTCATCAGAATTGTAATGGAAAGGGAAAGTTTTGACCCATGATTGAGAAGATAAGTCACCAACTCATTAAATCTGGTATCATTGGATTCCTCAAGAAATGTAATTTCCTTTGCCTCCATATGTCAACAGGTCCCCTTCCCTCCTCCCTCTGAGCTGTAGCTGCAACTTTGAGCTCCTTTATCTTCATTGAGTGAGACTACAAACAACATGAACCAGCGTAGTTAAACTAATGAGACTTCATAATGGACCTCTATGGAGATTGGCTTGAAAAGATTATTTTCTCATTTTCACAGAGACCTATCATGTAATCTGCTCAGTTTGAAGCTAAACAGATCTGTAGGAACAATTAGGAATGTGTAGAAACTATCAGATCTATCTGGCTATATGTATCCAAGCAACTTTAGTGTTTTCTTTAAGTACAAAGACTAAAAAGGACTCGAACGATAAACCGGTACGACTCTGAAACGTTTACTTCGAGATTATGTCGAGGGTTTAGTCTTATGGTTAAAAAACGTATACGGGTTCACCACCTACAACTCCACTTTTAGCACCAGCTTATAAATACAGGGTGGTCAAAAAGTTCGTTGACTTCAGATTTTTACATTTTTCTGAAGCACAAAAAAGTTTTGTAAAAACAAATTAAACAAACGTGACAAAAAACATCTTTAGACTTCTATATGCTACTTTTCACTCAATGTGGCCCCCTTTAAATCGGACTCAGGCAGTCAATCTCCTTGGGAATGCATCCACCACAGCGCGTAGCATATCCTGTGGGATCTTCTCCCATTCCTTCGTGAGGACACGCTTCAGAGATGCGACGTTGTCGTAGGACCTGCAGCACACCTTGGTCTCCAGAATGCCCCAGACGGCGTAGTCCAGAGGGTTGAGGTCTGGGGAGTATGACGGCCATTCGTCAGCAGTGATCAGGCCGGGAAATTGGTCGCGGCACCATTTCTGAACATGACGGACTTTGTGGGACGGCACAGAATCTTGTTGAAAGATCCATTCTCTGCTATGGAAGTGTCTCTCAGCCCAAGGCTTTACGACGGCCTGGAGCAAGTCGCGCTTATAGACTTCAGCATTGATTTTCAACCCCCAATCAATGAAAATCAATCGCGTTCGCCCATCGGCAGTGATCCCTGCCCAAACCATCACACCAGCAGCCTTCTGCTTCCGAGTCACGCTTCGATCACTTGGAGATAGAGTTCATGGGTCAGTAGACCAATTCCAATCATTTTGGCTATTTAAAGCGTGCTCGGTGGTGAACAACTTCTCATCAGAAAACAGGATAAGTCGGTGTTTGTTGCCTGCGAGCCGGCGTTTCAGATTTTTGCATCTGATATCCCTGTTCTTCTTGGCGGTTTCGTTGAGGAACTGCGGTTTCTTCATCTTGTAAGGATGGGCATTGATATCATTTTTCAAGATGTTCATCGTCGAGGATCTGCTGATTCCGAGCTCAGCGGCTAGTTTTCGCGTCGACCTTCGGGGATTGCAAAGAATTCGATCCCGAACTCTTTTGATACTGCGGGGGGTTACAGCAGTGCGTGGTCGACCAGATCTCGGTCTGTCATCTAGGTTCTGAGTCTCTTGAACCACTTGACCGTTTTGGAGACCAGCTGCTTTGACACTCTGGACGAGGTAAATGACCGAACAATGTCACAATTCCGATGACCGACCTGATGGAGCTCAATTATGGCAGCTGCAATTGTTTTCATGCTAAAATACAAATTTATATTATCTCATTAGGATTTTGGTGATAATTTGGTTTTCATAACACGTAAGCAGATACAAAAAACTAGAAATAGTGGCAGTAACACTTTATTTGACTTCATCAGAGCGCGTAAAAAAAAGTCAACGAACTTTTTAACCACCCTGTATATATATAGACTAGCCAACCCGTGGAAAACTTCCACGAACTCTTAGGCAAGAGCTCCCGAAGAGGTAAATTCGCGGCCCTAAACCTCTGTGGCCCTCTCATCATTACAGGCAGAAGACCCTCTTTCCAAATCTTTACACGTCCCCACGTATAGCTCTTGGAGACCCCTTTTATCCCACTGAGGGAAGGATGATTTCTTCGCTGGTGTGAGATCTTCGCCCTTACAATTATCGGAATTCCAACCCCTTTAATGATCGGCACTTTTCCCTATCGATCACAACCCTGTCCATTTCGTCCGTAAAGTCCATCAACATCACTTTTCATGCAAGGCTATGAATGAAATATACGGATATGGAAACGGGAAGGTTACGACACGACCTGCTTCATCTTTGCTATCTGGAGATAAACCTTTCTGTTCTATCCCACCCAGATAGGATCCCACCGATTTCACCCTCGGGAGTTACTCTCCTTCGCGCAGAGGAACACGAGACTCCAAGTGTTGTACGTTGGGTTTCCCTCGTGAAAGTTCGTATCGAGGTGTGAACATCATTCAGTTGGGGGGGGGGGAGTTGCGTAAGGCGTACAAGGACTCTCCCATTCTCAAGAACGGATCCGACATTCGCAAAGGCCGGAGAACATGCGAGCTCGAGAAGGTGAGACGGCCGCTCCAACCTGCGGGAAGTCTTCCAAAAACTATTTCTCGGTAATTACCGAGCTCAGTCAGCAGCCCTAATGCTCAGCGGCCCTTTCAACGATATGATCAGCAACCCCTATCTCCCATTCTCGAGAATGATTTATGGTAAGGCTCGAAAGAAACTGAGAGTTCGAGAGCGAGACAGAGACCCCATCCCGTGGAAGACGTCCACGAAATCCGAGTCAGCCGAGGCTAAGCGTGTACCATTTTCGGGTATTCACGAATCAACTCAGCGGCCCTATTAACGCTCTACGTAGCAGCCGCTCAGACGTTGTACGTCTCGCGCATCCTCCCCCCCCCCCTTTTACCCTTTTTACTCATGCCTACGATACGGATTTTTCTCGAGCAGCACTCTTATCCCGTATCGATCGCCACCCTGTGGGTATCGTCCGTAAAGTTCCTCTTCGCCACTCCATCAAGGCGGCGTCTTTCCGATGCAAGGGTGAGCGCTCATGTTCTATCCCATCCAGATGGAATCCCGCCACTTTCATCCTAGGTAGTCACTCTCCTTGTGAGAGTGCCGATCAATACGAAAACTGGGTTTCGATCGATTAAGGGACCGATAGATAGATGGGCGCAATTAGGCATATTAAATTCCATCGGAGGCCTTCTTTCACCTGTCAGTTTTGTAATCTTTAGTTATGCAATTCAAAATAAAATATATATGGTAAACTTTTATTTAAAAATATGAAAACGATATATAAAACATAAAAAATTTAAATTACAATAACGAAAGAGCTCAAAAATGAAAAATAATTATTCCAATAGTTGCCTTAATTCAGGACTGTCATATCGAGATTCCACTCACGAGCATTTGCGGATACTTGCACGCTTCTTTATCCCCTTGGAAACCTTCGCAGAGATTCTTTAACTGCTCGATCAACTTCTCCTGTTTTTCCAAGGCTTGTAGCATACTTTCTCCATATAGTTTCATGTGTCCTGCGAAGTAGATCAAAGACATTGACAAGACAGTTTGGATTAAATACGCTTTCATGATTCAACACTATTCGCTGCTGTAGATAAATGCCGCATAATCTCTCTCTGATGAGATTAGGATCTCTTAAAAAACATATGGGGTCCAGAAAATAGTGGGTAACTTGGAGAATATGGGCATCTTAGCTGTCTTTAGCATTAATATGTAAGAGGTGTGATTAACCTTTTGACTGCTGGGTTTTTATGGGCCTGTAATACTGGGTAGTGCTGGGTTTTCCCCCAAAAAATGCAAATTTCAGTTGTTCTTGATATTTACTTAAATGTGGAGCCATAATGAGCGATACATACATATATGATGTACATTTAAGTTGTTAAATACCTGACCTTTAAAATGGTATTTAAAATTTAAATCCCTGCTGGGCCATCGGGACTGACGCCATATGGCGTCAGTAGCAGTGAAAAGGTTAATAAAGAAATTGCAATTTCATACAGACATTTATTATTGAATAAACCAGGGTAGCAAAAAAGTTTCCGGAAGGAATTATAATCAGTGAAGGTGATGAAACATGAACTATTGCATCACTACATATTATCGGCAACAGTGGAAGTACAAACGCTATTGTCGACTCAGATTGTAACAGATATGGACTTCTTGTGAATGTCACTTGGTATGAAATAATTCTTGCATGGACTGCACGAGAAAATGCATAGATCATTGCCTGCATTGCCCAGTATCACCTGATTCGAGAGGATTTTCGAATGAGACACAATATAATATGGCAACTGCCGACCAGAATTAACCCTGGCTCTTGCTGAAGGCCTGGGAAAATCTCCGTTTAAGCGAATTCGGAGAATAACGTTTCGGATGAACACATCTATGTTCGTGCCACACAGGGTTCTGAGTTTTTTTTATTGAATCTGACATGATGTCAAAATTGAATCTGCCTTTTCCAAAGGTGTACACAGTTCCCTAGGTTAGGATTTTAGTTTAACAGTTCAGAGTAGTGCGAAAGCCCATGCAGGCACGGGATGAAAAATGTCGAATCAAAGCATTTCGTGCACACCGTTCTGTTATTTCATCGACTGAAATCAGAGTGGATCGCGCCGCAGAAAATCTTCCCTACCATTTTCATGATATTTTGAGAGCAACACCAAAGCTCCAAAGTTG